TCCCAACCTTCAAAAACAAGGGCGGGCCGCCCATATACTGTTGTGATACGAACCTACATATGCCACTTTTTCGTCTGCGGATAACATACGATTCCAAAGGGTGAACAACAACTGATGGCACTCATTTTCCCGAACTATAAGAACCTTAGGGAAATTAGTGTTGGAGATTGGATTTATAGCAAGGTGAAGTTCGTGATCGGATTGTCGAACCAAACGAGGCCGATTTATAGCAAGATGAAGTTCATGATCGGATTGCCAAACCAAACGAGGCCGATTCGGAGGAAGTCGATGCAGCTCTCAACTTGGCTTTTGAGGTGGTCGGCATTAACTCTTCGTCCACTTCAGGCCGGGTTGACATATCGTTGGAAGATGATATTTTCACCAATCTAGGAGATCTTCCCAGCACTGATCTTGAAAATATGGTTGGGGAGTCATTTGCACAGATGGCTAGAAGAAAAAATGGGAGAAGATGGTGGCTCGAAGAAGGGCCGAGGCTACCAGGTCTGAGCCTTCACCACCTGTTCAGATTAATTCTCTTCCTCTGGCACCAGTTGAGGCTGACACATCTCTAACTTTTGTTGAAGAAACAGAGCAAGTTATTGTGGATGAGTCGGCTATTGAGTAATTGGAAAAACGATTGGCCGAACAGAAGGGAGAAAAACGCCCCGCTAAGATTGGAGCCAATTCCTCTGAAAACTTAGTCGATAAATGGCCGCGCATGGAAGAATCACAGGATTTAACGTCGCCGTTTATTATCCAACCTAAAATAAAGAACACATCAGTTTCTGCTAATGGATCGGCTTTGAAAGACCCTGCTGTGGCCTTAAGTGTGACCTCATCGATATCCTTGCCAATAGACAGGGCCACATTTCGTACAGAGCCGGACGTGGTGTTGATAGTGCTAGCTGCTCAGCCGACGATATTGGTATGTACTTCACGTATTGTTGTTTTTGTTAAATAATGCCAATTAACTTACGCATGCTTTGCTTCAGGCGGCGAGCAGGATCACAGAGATCGGTCGCTGTCATTACGACGCCGTTGAGCAAATCGGCTTACCTAAATCCGAAATTGAAAGCAAGAAGGGCAAGGCTAAAGAAGCATTGGCCGAACTGGTAGTGGCATCTCTCAGGCCCAACTTTGAAGCCAAGAAGGCGGAAGAAGAGCGAGCGAGGGTCGACGCCGAGGAAGAGAAGGCTAAAATCTCAGATCTTCTCAGGATAGCCGTTGAGGACAAAGCGAACGTTAGTGAAGAAGCACTAAAGCTAGCCAAGGAAGTGATTGCGAAGCTGGAGGCCGATTTGGAAGAATCGAAGAAGGCGAAAGAAATTGCCGACTTCGAGGTTTCCAAAGTGTTCAGTACCGGCGAGACTGCTGCCTTGGAGAAATATGTAGAGGAAGTACCTAAGTTTGAGAATCGAGGATTCAAACACGGCTGGCTCAAAGCTCTGGCGGCCGCTAATGTGGTATGGGAGTAGCCAATTCCATATGAGCAGCTAGAGGTTGAGCTGTTAGAGTCTGACCTTGAGAAATAAGTAGTTTTGTGTAATTTGGCTTTTTGATTAGTATTTTCTTGTATGTAATTTTTTGTAGATTTTTGTAGGGCAGTTTTCATGCGTAAAATGATGACTGATTATACTCAATTTATTAATGAAAATTGTCTTTTTGTTTATTTTCTGTGTGCTAATTTGAGAGTGCAACGCCAGTAAGCGATAATTTGTCAAAATAAAACGCATCTTAATTCGACTATAAAATTGTATGTTGAGCTCAATAGTTTGGTTGTTTGGACAAGTTAATGCCGAATAGCATATCTCACAGTGTGTGACCTATATAAAATGTATTATCATTCGGCTATATCACCAGATGCTGATTACAGTGACGCCCTTGCCCCATTTGGGCATACCGTTCCAACACCGAATAACATGTGTCCCTTACAGGTTGTAACTTGTGAATAAAACAACTGGCTCAAAGCTAAATGTCTGGCCAAATGAGGTAACGTATTATCATTCGGTACTAGATGCTGATTATAGTGACGTCCTTGCCTCATTTGGGCATACCATTACAATGCCGAATAACATGTGTCCCTCACAGGTTGCAACTTGTGAATAAAATATTTGGCTCAAAACGAAACATCTGGCCAAATGAGGTAACATATTATCATTCGGCTATATCACCAGATGCCGATTTCAGTTACACCCTTGTCTCATTTGGGCATACCGTTACAACGTTAAATAACATGCGTCCCTCACAGGTTGTAACTTGTGAATAAAACATTCGGCTCAAAGCTAAATGTCTGGCCGAATGAGGTAACGTATTATCAGTCAGCTATATCACCAGATGCTGATTACAGTGATGCCCATGCCCTATTTGGGCATACCATTCCAAAGCCAAATATCATGTGCCAACCTGGACATATTTCAAACTCTACGACAGACGTGGGTTTGAAATAATATGCGAGGTATTCAGTATTTAAGAAGTTGTGGGAGTTGTGGAACGAATCTGGCACAGACGATGATAATCGATAGTTGAAGGAAGAGCAGAAACGTGAGTTGGACCATAGATGTCGCTAAGGTTGTTCTTCAATAGTAAAGAAGAAGCAAGACGTTTGGTTAAACTAGACGTTGGAATGCATCGCGCTGCTGGAGGCAAAGCTCAAAGGACGGGGGAAATGGCAACAGAAGGGAGGGAGAGACGTCGGTCGCCCAGACGTTGGCGTAGCTCCCCCAGAAGAGATGACGTAGCGAAGTCTTCCAAGGATGGGGTGCAGCAACGAGGGGGATCAAGAAGTCATACCGGTGATTAGAGTGCTGCGCGAGGTGAGTGAGCAGAGCTCCGTGCCCGTTAAGCGTTTCGATTTTCGCTGGGAACAAACCAATGACTGAAGCGGATTCGATTGTCCACGATCTAAATGTGGCAGTTGAGTTTGCTTGACAGATTTTTTCGCCTGAAGTCCAGCAATCAATGGTCGGTCAGCCTGACTACGAAGTGTTTTGGGAGGGCGTGCATGGAGCGGTGAGGGGTCTATACACCTCTTATGAAATCGACATGTGTCTTCGTGCCACGCGAAGGGAGATAGAACAGAAAGACAACCACATTCGAAGCTTGGAACAACGTGCAGAAAAAGTTGAGAATGAATTAAAAAACGTAAAAACTTCTGAAACACAGTCAGCAAGCCAAGTTAACCCAATTGTGGCAGAAAGGGTAAACCAGCAGCTCTTAGATCATGCCATTGCTGACCGAGATACGACGAGCATGTTCGTAAGAGAAGCGATAAGAACGAAGGCCTACAATGAAGGCTTCTTTGATGGCTAGAAAATTGGTATCGATAGGACGAAAGAAAAGTTAGCTGAGGACGTCTGTCGGTGTGAAAATCGGGGATTTAAACATGGGTGGACTAAGGCGCTGCAGGCCGCAGGTATCAACTCGGCGTCACCTCTATATCAGAACTACAAATTTCCCTTCAAAGCTTATGACGCCAAGAAGACCGATGTTGAAGAGGGTGCTGAATAAATTTATATGTCGATATGCATTGTACCCTTTAAGTTTGTCGAAAGTCATGTATTTAGACTTTATTTAATGAAATAAACATTTTCTATATTGTTTCGATCAATGTTTGTTTTTGATTGTGGAAATCGTACACTGATCCATACCATTCTATTGCCAAATTTGGTCCTTCCGAACTCGGAGGATTATTCGGCCGTTTGTGGTTATAAACAAAAAGTACTCCAAAGTCAAAAGATTATTCGGCCTAAACATGATAGCCACACAAAGGACTTAGGCCAATCGTGACATCCATGAAGGGCAGTTCGAATTCGGAGGCTTATTCGGCCCAAACGTGGTATCCACAGATGGTGCTCCAAATTTGGAGTCTTGTACTGTTGGCCAATCGCGATATCCACGAAGGACGCTTCGAATTTGGAGGCTTATTTGGCCCAAACGTGGCATCTACGGATGGGGCTCCAATTCGGAGTCTTTTAGTGCTGGCCAATCATGACATCCCCAAAGGGCACTCCAAATTCGGAGGCTTATTCGGCCCGAATGTGACATCCACGAATGGGGCTTCGAATTCGAAGTCTTTTAGTGTTGGCCAATCGTGACATCCATGAAGGGCACTCCAAATTTGGAGGCTTATTCGGCCCAAACGTGGCATCTACTGATGGGGCTCCGAATTCGGAGTCTTTTAGTGTTGGCCAATTGTGACATCCGTGAAGGGCACTCCGAATTCAGAGGCTTATACGGCCCAAACGTGGCGTCCACTGATGGGGCTCCAAATTTGGAGTCTTTTAGTGTTGGCCAATCGTGACATCCATGAAGGGCGCTCTGAATTCAGAGGCTTATGCAGCCCAAACGTGGCATCCACTGATGGGGCTCCGAATTCGGAGTCTTTTAGTGTTGGCCAATCGTGACCTCCATGAAGGGTGCTCTGAATTCTAAGGTTTATTTGGCCCAAATGTGGCATCCACAGATGGGGCTTCGAATTCGAAGGCTTATTCGTTATCAAACCATAATTAACAAGACTGGGATAAGAAAGGGAATTGCATTGGGGAATTTAAAAGAAATACATACATATCAGCAAAATTTCATACATCAGCAAAAATTCAAAGCAAGCTAGCATGAAGTACAGGTCGGCTTAATAATAAAATTTGCACAAGCATGTGGAATTCCAAGGGCGCGACAAGCTTCTCCCGGCCATGTCTTTAAGCCGATACGCCCTGTTCCGGCGATTGAATCAACCTGAAAAGGGCTGTCCCAGTTGGGGCCTAATTTTCCGTCTGCCAGATTCTTGGTAGCAGGTAATACCTTCTTGAGGACCAATTCTCCAGGTGCATAACAATGCAATTGTACGCACTGATTGTATGATTTAGCGAGTTGTTGTTGATAACGCGCCATGCATGCTAGGGCACGATCTCGGCGTTCTTCGATCAGAGTCAAGTCTAAGGCCAACATCATGTCGTTACGGCCCATGTCAAAAACCTAGGATTTCAGCATGGGTAGGCCAATTTCTAGGGAGAGAATTGCCTGGGTTCCAAAGCACAAAGCGAACGGCGTTTCCCCTTTGGATCACCTTGGAGTAGTGCAACGAGCCCATAACACACTGGGCAACTCTTCGACCTATCCACCGTTAGCTTTTTCAATCTTTTCTTGATGTCGTCCAAGTTGATTTTGGTGGATGACTCAGCCTGACCATTACTTTGTAGATAAGCCGGCGAGGAAAAGTATGGCCTGATACCATACGCATTGCAAAATTCTCGGTAGATGCCACAATCAAATTGGGTACCATTGTCTGAGACAAGTGCTCTTGGTATACCGAATTGTGTTATGATGTTTCTCCACACAAAACGCTTATCGTTGACATCTCGAATATGTATTAATGCCTCTGCTTCAATCCATTTTGTGAAATAATCTGTTGCGACGATCAGGAATCGCTTATTCCCTGGAGCCCGCAGTAATGGTACGACGATATCAAGTCCCATTGAGTGAACGGCCAAGGACTAGTGATAGAGTTTAACTCCTCGGCAGGCAGATGAGTTAAAGGGGAAAACTTCTAGCATTGTTCTCATTTTTTGACATAGCTCTCGGCATTTGTTCGCATGGTCGGCCAATAGTACCCTTGTGTTACAGCTCGATGGGCCAATAACCGTCCCCCCGAATGGGCGCCACAGCTACCTTCATGTATTTCAGCCAAGAGTTTCTCAACTTTGTCTGGATGAACACATTTTAAGTATGGTCTAGAAAGGGATTTTTTGCAGAGTTTTCCGTGCGGATCCAAGTAGTATCGCATTGCTTTATTTCGTAGTTTGTGAGCTTTTTTCTTATGCATTGGGATTTGCTCTGAGGAAAGGAATGCAACAATGGGGTCCATCCAACTTGGAACCTGATACAATGATGTTAATCTGAATTGGTTCTGGAGAGGCAATGCTCAGCTCAGGGACGAATCCTACTTCGATTCTCCATTTGACTTCTAAATCGATGGCAGAGGCTAGGCAATCCAGGGTATCCGCATGCGTGTTCTGATCCCGGGTTATTTGATTCAATTCATTGTGGTCGAATTTCGTGGGCAAAGAATTCGTCGTTTTCATGTAAGCTGCCATGCGATCATTTTTAGCTGCATATTCACTTTTCAACTGGTTGATGACTAACTTCGAGTCATAGAAAACAAGCAGCCACCATGCACTAAGGTGAAGTGCATTTCGTAGGCCGGTTAGCAATGCTTCGTATTCGACCTCATTGTTTGATGCATCAAAGCCAAGTTTGACTGCCTGCTCGATTATTGCCTCTTCGGGGGTCATGATTACTATGCTTGCCCCACAGCCACGTTAGTTGGATGACCTGTCACAGTACACCTGCCCAATGTCTCCAACATATATCCTCCAGTTGGGTTTAGGTTGCCCGGACTTGAAGTCAGCGAGGCATCCTGTGAATTCGGCTACAAAATCGGTGAGAATTTTCCCTTTGATGGAAGTTCTAGGCAGAAACTGGATATCATACTGGCTGAGGTCCAAAACCCACTTCAAAACACACCCTGATGCTTCCGTGCTACAGAGCGCTGACCGGAGGGGCTAGTCCGTTAGTACCCTTATGGTATGCCCCTAAAAGTAGTGCATTAGTTTTCTTGCAGCTATAATGAGAGCAATGATGAGCTTTTCCATTGGTAGATAGCGTGTTTCAGCGTCAACCATTGCTTTGCTTACATAGTAAACTGGTCGTTGCTCCCCGAGTTCTTTGCTTAAAAGTATGGCGCTGACCGCTCGGTTAGATACCGCCAGGTACAGAATGAGCGGAGCACCTGCTAAGGGGATTACCAAGAGTGGTATTGATCGGAGGTATGTTTTCAAATGTCCAAAGTGGCCTGGCACTTGGGGGTCCATCCAAAGGCTTTACCTTGCCGAAGTGTATGAAAGAATTATCGGCAACGATCTGTGGAACGACTAATAAACCTATTGAGCACGGCGGCCATTCCCATTAGCTTCTAAACCTTTTTGACCGACTGAGGAGAGCCGAGTTCTAGAATTTTCATGATTTACCTTAGGATGGCCTCTATTCCGTGTTGGTTAACAATGTAGCCGAGGAATTTTTCGGAACTGATGCCGAGTGCACACTTTGAGGCGTTCAGTTTCATTTTGTACTTTCACAGAATGCCGAATGTCTCTGCCAAGTCGGCTAGATGGGCATGCTTTTCCTTGGATTTAACCACCATGTCGTCAATGTATACTTCCATGGTGTGGCCGAGCTGTTCCTTGAACATGGCAGTAACTAGTCTTTAGTAAGTTGCCCCTGCATTCTTTAACCCGAAAGGCATGTCCTTGTAGCAATAGGTTTCTCTTGGGGTGAGGAATGCAGTCTTTTCCTGGTCCTCCGGGCACATGGAAATTTGGTGATAGCCTCTGTAGGCGTCCAAAAAGACCATTCGTTGATGATGTGCGGTTACATCTACGAGTTGGTCTATTCTGGGGAGGGAAAAACAATCCTTGGGACAAGCTTTGTTTAAATCTGTGAAATCCACACAAACACACCAGGATCCATTTTTCTTCTTTACAACCACCGTGTTAGACAACCATGTAGGGTAGGTAACTTCGTGAATTGCCCCGGCATCAAGCAACCGGTCAACTCCCTCAACAACGACAGAAACATGCTCTGAGGCTGATCAACGAATTTTTTTGAATGATTGGTTTACATTTTGGATCAACCTTTAAGTAGTGCCAGGCCATAGACAGATCCATCTCCGGTATATTGTATGGCGTCCATGTAAACACGTCGTGGTTGCCGAATAAGAAGGACACAAGATTGTGCCTTTCAACTTCATTCAGGGAAGTGCCGATCATGAAGAACTTATCAGGACTCCCATTAATTTCGATCCGATCCAAATCTTCAGTTGCCTTTTCACTGGAGATCTTCTCAATATCCTCGAGGCTCTCTCGATCTGGTACTTTGAATTCACTTCCATTTCCATTGGTCTCTTTGCAGCAACAATAAGGTAACATGCTTGTGTTGATCTCTGAGAACCCCGAATTTGTGCATTGCCATACTCGGTCGAAAAATGAAGTAATTGATGGTAGGTGCTCGGAACAGCTTGCATTGTATGCAACCAAGTTCTTTCCATGATGTGATTGTATGGCGATAGAAGTTTGACAGCCAGAAATTCTACATCAACTAATCTGGTGCCCGCCCAAAATGGTAATGTGATCTTGCCCAATGGATACTCAGGGTTAGTGTTGAAGCCAAATAATGGGTAATCGGCGGGCAACAAATCCGAGTCTGTGAAGTCGAGTTTGACGAATGTCTTATAATACATTATTTCTGAAGTGCTTCCCTAATCGATGAGAACACGTTCAATGGTGAATCTGTTGACGCATAACTCAATGACGAGGGGATCAATGTGTGGAAGAGTTACTCCAACTAAGTTGGTGTCGTCAAAACTAATCCTCCCAATTTCATGGGGCCGTTTTGCTGGTGTGATCGGCCTTTGGAGGCTAGGTTGTAACTGAATTGTCTGTATCTCGGTTGACAGCGGTACGCTGTATATCATGTCAATTACACTAAGTGGAGTCGAATCTGGCCTTAAGGCTACTGTGTTCGATGGATTATTCTTTTGGATGTGTTGCGCCAGCCAGCCGTCTTGTACCAGTTTTTCCAGGTGATCCTTTAGTGCATAACAATTGTCGATGTCATGACCGTGGTCCTTATCGCATTCACACCGCTTGTATCTTCTCCTAGTGTTAGGAGGTTCAACCATTTTGGAAGGCCATTTAAAGAACAGAAAGTGTTAAACTTTTGACAAAATCTTGCTGGTCGGCTCTGCCAACTTTGTGTGCTTTTTGTCCGAGCATTTTGTGCGCTTGCTATCCACTTGACATTGTTCATTCGATCGATGTGAACATTGATTGTTTGATCGGCGTGAGTCACGCCTTTTGTCTCGTTTGGCCTGACTCCGCAGTTCGAGGCTCCTTGATGGCACGACGCTTAATGGCTGAACGGTTCCAGGTGAAGCTGTCTTAATGGCTTTCTGTCCGGCTTTGACCCATAGGGCATCATCTTCCACTTTGCAATACTCTTCGACCTTCTTCATTAACGCTGAAACTATTTTGGGGGGCCGTCTGGTCAACGAACTGCGGAGGGAACTATCAGGATATAATCCCATCTTAAAGGCGGTGATGGCTATAGAGTCATTGTAAGAATCATCTACCAAGTTAAAGTATTCGCAATAGCGTGTCTAGTATTCACGAAGGGTTTCTTCTGGTTTAATTTGCATTGCCCAGAGAGAATAGGCTTGCTTTGGCTAGATTTCATTGGTGATAAATCTTGCCTTGAAGGACTTTTAGAGTTAATGGAAGCTTTTAATCGATGCCAGCTCTAGTTTATAGTACCATCTGACGGCCAGTGGTCCCAGACTGCTCAGGAACATTCGACACATGAGGGTTTCATTGTCAACATGCAGTGTCATCGCCTATTTATAATGATGAATATGATCAGTGGAGTCTGATTTTTCGTCGTAAAGGGTGAACGACGGTGCTTTGAACTTCTTGGGTAGCACTGCCCTTGCAATTCGTCGCACAAAAGGGTCATGCTTATCTTCTTCATTTGAATCATCACTTCTTCTCCCTCGCTTGTAGCGCACATACGGACTTCCTTCGGATGAGCTAGATACATCGACTCATCCTTTCTTTTCGAGTTTTAGGGATGGTGAGTAATAATCACTGTCATTATCATGTTTCCGAAGTCGACGTCGTAGGCCATCCTTCTTTCCTGAAGGTTGACCCCGGTCTTGGCAAGCAGCCAGTTGGGATTTTTCCACCTCCAAGGCCAATTCCTGGCAAAGGCGCTCATTTTTAGCCATCATGTTTTCCAGCCACTGTTCATTTTGCTTTACTTGATTCATAATCATCTGCATTGTCTCATGCACTGATGTTGAGGGTGAGGTCTGGCCTACTAAGTCGAAGTTCAAGGCCCGTCGTACGGTGATATTCTCCGGTCCAAGCATGTTTCTTGGAGTGATGTCATCTCTTGGCGTAATGTCATCAACGACTACCGGAGGATCATCTGTTACGCTCGCCATGGATGTGCTTAAGCATTCCCACAGATGGCGCCAATTGTGGAGAAGTGGTTTGGAAATACTCCAAGATCTAGTAAGACGTTCTTGATCCTCTAACTGTCACCTGAAAAAGGATGAACACTCCAGTCGGGGCTGCCGGAATTAGCACACTGACGGACAAGTTAGTATGCTCTCAAGTTTACTTCTATCTCAAGTTGTTTCATCTATTCTCACATACCTTTCTTTGGTTGATGTTCCTCTATTTATACTAATATCTAGTCTTAGGAGTCGGGACCACTCTTAATCTAGCGCGTGATTGCTTATTCAGCCTTTCAGTCGTATGCCAAGTCCTATTCAGCTGCTTATATGGTCGATTGCATGGCCGATTTAAATATCTTGGGTTCAGGACCCTTTTGGATAGGGTCGAATCGTCTTTGTCCTGTTAAATCTTCAGATACATTTGGCTTTCCTTAATATATTATTATTCAGCCCCCACAAAAACAAATGGATAAAAACATGAGAAATGCTAAAAGAAATATGATGTTTTAAGCTACCCATCATAAGCGAATAAATAAAAGGGAGAAAGACATGGGGTTGGATGACATACACATTATTACAAGACTGCCCTCGTGCAGGAGAGGCCGAATAAATGTCCTAGCTAATTACCGAATTAACTAACTATTACAATACCCAAAATAAATTAGCTACACTAAGTAGTTAACTAATTAAACAATTATTACAACACTATAAATAAACTAACTATTCTAGCTAGTTAATTAACTATTCTAGTTACTTAATTACATACAACACATAACTAGCTATTCTAGCTAATTATTACAATACCAAAATTAGGGAATTGAAACTAACTAATTAATTACAAATCCACCATTCTACAGGTCCTGAAGATCAATGAAAGGACTTATGTATGCCAGCAGATTTTCCACCCAAAAATGCCTCTATTTTGCTGCCAAGAGGGTTCTGTTTTACAGCCAGAAACTTGCACTGTTTTTCCTCAGCTTCTACTCTATTCTGTAAAAAAAAAAAGGTACTATCTAGTGGACAAAAGTGGCTAGTAGGCCAGAAATGGTGGCCAACCGCCCACTTTTGGTGGCCTGTCATACAGAAAAGGTGGCCTGTTGGCCACTAATGGTGGGTTTCTCCTGCTACAACAGAAAAAAAATAGAGCACAAACATAGCATTTTCAGGGGATGTCTGTCCGCCTTGCCTCTCCTTATCTTCAAACAACTCAAAGGAGAGGCAAGCTCGATTTGCAAGCCATCAATCAGCACAATTTCATTGCGTGATGACTTATGAACCAAGGGATACAATTTGAATAAATGCATAATGAAAGACTCGCAAACCTCCTCCCTATCATGATTGATCAAGGGAAGTGGTTGACCTTGGAAACTTGAACCATTTCATCACTAACAAGTATGAAATGACTCAAGTCTCCATGTGTTCAATTAATATCCGATTGAACACCAAATTATGTTATTATCTTACTTCATTTTATTCCAATTTTATTACTCTATTTCATTGCCTTTCCATTCATTAATCATTTTAGTCTAAAATAAGTATTAAGTCCATTAAAGGAGGGAAGTGTCAAACCAAGTATTGTTTTAGGCATGAGAGAGATACCATGCTGTTGGTAATGAACCCCCAAAGGGATTAAACCATTAAGCACAATACCTCTATCTCAAACTTAAACAATCAATTAGTTTGAAACAACTCTCAAAGCAAAGGAAAAGCCAAGAAATGAGGGAGGTTGCAGAGATTCTTAGAGGTGAACATAAGTATGGAAAGAAAAAAATAAATGCTATCCACTCAAATAGGTTGGTGGCTAAGGCCTAAACCACCAAGCCTATAAGGACCATTACACTACAAGCATGCAATACAAAGCACAAATGAAACTAACACATAAAAACAGTCCTAAATTGGCTCAAACCAGTGGTGGAATCAAAGTAAAAACAGCTAAAAGAGTATGATAAAAACATGGAGCAATTAAGCTAATAAACAAACACAAGGAGGGAGGCTACCTCCTCCATTTTTAGGACTTCAAAATATGATTTTTAGCCTTTGGAAAACTCTAAAAACCAGTGGGAAAAAGCTCAAAAAAGTTGATAAAAAGGTGGGAAACACGAGGGTAAAAGCCTATGAAACAAGGTCCAAAGAAAGGTGATCCACCCTTCTATCTTTAAAGGCTTTAAACCATAAGTTTCAGCCCAAAAATACAAGTGATAAACAATTCAAAAACAAGAAGAAAAGATGAGAAAGAGATGGTATAAAAGAACTAGAATGTATACCTCTTGAAGGGGAGTGATCCCTTGAATTCTCAAACCACTAGTTTCACACTCTTAAGTGCTAAAAATGCAAGCTTAAGCACCTCAGCAAAATCCCTCAAGGTTTGGTTTAGAGTGTCTAAGCAAAGGTTATGTAAGTTGCAAGGGAGAGAGAGAAATGTAGAGAGAGAAATATTTTCCAAAACTTTTGCTCTCTAAAATTTTCCAACTTTAAAAAAATGAGAGGGAGTCGTCTATATATAGAAATATATGAGTCCACCTCAAAAATATCCATACAGACACAGCTGGTGAAGTGCATGCATCTATATAGATAGCTGGCACAGCTGGCAAAAAGATCTAAAATTTTACACAAAGGGCCGGCAGGGCACTAATAGTGGGCAGCAGGCCACACTAGTGGGTCTGCAGGTCCCTAGATGCTTAGGCATGAAAAACTGCTGTTTTGGTCCAAAACAAGGCACAAAGTTTGTAGGTTCAAAACTGAGGTTTCCTGCTAAAGAAGTCAAGCATTTGACAAGCGTACACATTCATCATTGAGTGATCAATCAGTGTCACCCAAGTCGTAAGGGCAGTCAAAAATGAGGTGTCTACAGTAGCAAAACCAAACAATAAGCTACCTCTCCAATCTCCTTAAGGATCTCAAAAGGCCAAATGAATCGAAGGGATAACTTCCCACTCTTACCAAATCTTAATTTGATTGATTAAATTTTTAGAGTCCCTAAATTTTTCTTGATTACGTGGTAGTCCAAACCAAAGGGATAGAGAAAATTTTATGGGTGAACTGTGACTTATTTTTATTAGATAGTTAGGAAATAAAGAATGATCCGTTTTAGTATTGAGAAAATATATATAACTCCACACTTTTGACATAATTGTACTAATCTTCTTTAAAGTTTTAATTCAGATAATAGTTAGATTGCTTTTTATTAATAATCTGTTAGTCATATGAATGATAAAATGATGTTGTCATCTATTTCAACTAAAATATATATTTATTTCAATATGTACTCTTTATCTGCATTAGTTTCAATCGTTTTAATCTTATTAAAAGAGTGGACAATATAATTATATCAAAAGTATTAATTGTATTTTTTCAAAATCTCAAAAAAAAAAATAGTATAATTTACTGTTAAAATATTGATACTTCGCAATTCATTTTTAAATAGTCGACTTGCTCGTGATCCGGACATGGCTATAAAAAAATAAATTAAAGAACATACACAAAAAAAGAGATATCAGGGAGTCATTTACAATACTGTTGGCTTCTCGAAACATGACGTTGGCCCCGTTTGGATGGTAAGTAGCGTCGTGCAAAATATCGTTTAATTTGTTAAAATTACATTAATTTATATTTATTTGTACTGTTTTAATTTTTAATTGTGGTTTAAATTTTAAAATTTATGATCG